AAGGGTTGTCAAAAGCATGAGTGGTTCCAGCAGAAAATAATTTGCCTTGTAAAGTGAATGAACAATAAATCAATGGACAGATGACTAGGTGCAGGGCCAGGCCCACTTTAGCCAGGAGGATCTGGAAGATGAGACAGGGCACAGACAGATTGAGGGGCCAAATTCCAGGGAGCGAGGTGAGAACAGGGAGGGACCCAGAGAGCTCGCTCATGTCAAGAGGCCCACCCACCTGGGGAAGACAGAAAGTCAATGCCCGTGAGCTGAACCAGACCCTGGGCTGGGTACTGGGACCTTGGAGATGGTGTGGTCTTGCCCTCAGAGAGTGGAACTGGTGGGACGTGGCTGGCCTCCCTCCCTCCCTTCTTCTCTCCCTCTTCTCCTCCCTCTCTTCTTCTCTCTCCACATCCCCTCTCTCTCTTTCTTCCTTCCCTCTCTCCTTCCCTTTCCTGTCTTTCTTCCCTCCCGCCTTCCCTCTCTTTCCCTCCCTCTCTCTTTCCTTCCTCTCTCTTTTTTCCTCCTTCCCTTTCCCTCTTTTTCCTTTCTTTCTCCCTTGTTTCCTGCCACAAACATCATTTGACTCCTGCTGTAGACTAGACCCTGTTCCAGCTCTGAGGGAACCAAGGTGAACAAGACAAGGTGCCCAGACTTCAAAGGACCAGGGGAGGACGCTGACCCGGTGAAAACTCCTTTAAATTTTCTCTGGGAGTGTTGGGTGAAGCATTCAGGCACCATTCCATGGGACAGGAGGAAGAAGACTCCAGCCTGCAGTGGGGCAAGGCCCCCTCCATCAGTCAGTCCATAGGAAGTGGCTCCCCATATTCTAGGGGCAGGACCTGAGTGGGGTCTATTAGTGTCCAGATGTGGAATCCGGGACTTAGGGAAATACTTGAGAGCTGAAAGAATACAATTGTCACCTTCAAAATCAGGAAAAAAACCCAGCAAAGTCAAAATTAGTAAAAGTTGAATTAAAGGCCTTCAGACTGTAACATTGTGACAACTTTATTAATTGCTCTATTGAGCAGTCATAAGAAGGACAGTAACGTGTGAAAACATTTTGTTGCTTTGATCTTTCTTATTTGCCAAGAATTCCTGAGTAGGCAGTTCAAGTGTGACAACCTAGGACCTACTAGAAATTGGATGGATGATTTGTACCTGACTGATTTCACAAGCAAAATGGTGACAAGCCTTTCAACAATTTTACTGGCAAAATAAGGCAATTATCTTTGATGGGTGCGATGGGAGTGCACATCTGTGTGTTTGTTATCTGGAGAAGGGGTGGGGGCTGCTTCTGTCGGTGGGGAGAAGGAAGGTCAATGGGGCAGAGCCTGGTTAGCTGAACATCCCCCAGCCTGGCTGGCCCCTTGTGCAACCCCAGCCCTGTCACTCGCCTTCTCTGGTCTCAGTAGGCTGCGTGACCTCTTAGGCTCTTTCTAGCCAGGGCACTGAGCCATGTATGGAAAAAGATACCAGCTTGGAGGTTAAGGCTGGGCCAGTGGGACCAGGAAGCTGCCCCAGCTGGGGATTAGCAGTCATGCCAGGGGTAGGATGTCCTAGTCTTGGCACAGCTAGTCTTTAATGCCTCGCTGGGAATTTTCAATAAGAAATTCATCTCGCGACCCTCATGGCTGGGGCCTTTGTCCCTGAAAGGCAAACATCTTCCATGTGAGAAGACTTTGTGTAACCTGGAGAGGGAAGAGGAGGAGGAGGAGGAGCACACAGGCGGAGGTGTCATTGCTTCTCTTTCCGGAAGGACTCAGACTGGCCAGCCTGAACCACGGGTGACCTCTGAGGTTCCCAAACTTCCCACCCACCAAAGACCCTGTATTGTATATTATATAATATTAATCTTATGACAGATGCTCCTCATTTTATTTTATTTTTGTTTGTTTGAGACGGAGTTTCACTCTTTTGCCCAGGCTGCAGTGAAGTGGCACAATCTTGGCGCACTGCAGCATCCACCCCCCGGGTTCAAGTGATTCTCCTGCCTCAGCCTCCAGAGTAGCCGGGATTACAGGTGCCCGCCACCACACCCAGCTAGATTTTGTATTTTTAGTAGAGACGGGGTTTCACCGTGTTGGCCAGGCTGGTCTCGAATTCCTGATCTCAGGTGATCCGCCCACCTCGGCCTCCCAAAGTGCTGGGATTACAGGTGTGAACCACTGCACTCGGCCAGATGGTCCTCATTTTATAATAAGTTATGTTCCAATAAACCCGTAGTAAAGTTGAATTATTGAAGTCAAACCGTGGTAATCTGGGACCATATGTGCACATATTCATCAGCATCATCTTCACCATCTTTGCTGTCGCCGTGCATCAAGGGCCTACCCTAAGCTAAGCCTTCATGGTTGTTACCCCACTTTGACCTCACAGCACGCCCATGAGGTGAGCACTGTTCTTAGTCCCATTTCACAGATAAAGAGCCTGAGACTCAGCAAGGTGCAGTCTCTGGCCCAGGTCACATAGCCAGCAACCAGCAGAGCAAGTATTCAAGCCCGGGAGAGCCCAAGCCCAGTGCCAGGCTCTGAGCACTGCCCTCAAAGCCCCTCACCATCGCTTTGATTTCCTAGGTCCTTGCCTGTCCACTATGCCTCTGAGATCCAGGAACAGGATGTTTACCCATTTTACAGATGAGGCAACTGAGGCCTAGGCCAACACCAGGTCTCGAGGTCACTGCATCACGCTCAGCACCCTGGGCTGTATTCCTGGGCTGGAACAAACTGCCTTCACGAGATTTCAGCACAGCCCTTGGCTCTGTGCTTCACAACTGAGGGAAGAGCGAGGCTCAGATGTGTGCAGAACCCAGTGTCAGGCAGCCAGGGAAGGAGGTGTGACAACCCTTCAAGACCACGGGCAAGACTGCAGCAGTGCTCTAATGGTCTGGGCTCTTGAGGCCTGGCCATCACCTTCTCCCTGCAGCCGCCCAGCTCTGTGCTATAACAGCGGAGCCACGGTTAGCGTAGGAACAGCCAGCTCCTGGAGCCACCAGTCTTGTCCCAACCTTTGCCTGGTTGCGTCATTTTGAGGACAGCCCCCCCACCCAGGTCCTTGCTGAGTTGCAGGTGGGTAAGCAGAAGGACAGAGACCCATAGTGACCCTGAGCATTGTGCCAGTCCTTCCCAGCCTGAGGCCAAGTGGGCATCCACCTGAGTTTCCTGTGCTGTTCCGGGTTGACACAAGCCCAACGCAGCAGGCGTTACAACCAACCCAAACATCGGTGGCCGAAGCAAAAACAGGATATTCAGGCCCAGGGACTCTCCCTCTTTGCTAACTGACCTCAGCCTGATATGGGTGGAAGGGTCTTCCCTGGGGGCCCAAATGCCTGGTTCCTGTCCTTGCAAGTGTGGACAAGCCACCTCCCTCTTTGAACTTCAGCTTCCTCAACTGGAAAATGGAGCTCTGAAAACCTGCCTTAAAGAGTTTTCATAAGGAATAACAGGAAAGTGCATCTAAAGTGCCCTTTAGGGACACCAAGCCCAGTGTCAGCACAAGCAGTTGCCAGGCATCTGCTGCACCTGCCGGGTGCAGACCCCTGGAGGCAGGATGCTGTACACTGGGAGACTGTCTGACTCCCTGTGGGCCACAATTCTAGATCCATCTCTGTCCCTGTCTTGCTGAATGACCCCAAGCTGGTAGCTTCCCCTCTCTGAGCCTCAGTTTCCAAGTGATGACAGAGTTAGACTGAATGGTCATTATGGGTCCTCCTGCCAGGACATTCTCCAATTCATTCATTCTTGGTCTCTCCCCAGTCCTCACCCACAAGGACCAAGGACCACCCCCTTGGTAGCTGCAGGCTCCATGAGGACCTGGCCTTAGTCTTGGCAGAAAGCCCTCTCCATAGCCATCCATTTCAATTCAAACATCCTGGGTGACCTTTGGGCTGGAAATCTCTCTCTCTGCTCATCCTGAGAGGGGTATTTTCCTTGGAGTGTCCTTGGATGATCCCAGAACCAAGGCTTGCTTCTGTGGGCAGCCTTCCATCCCATCTCCACCATATAAGAGCTGCCACCATTCAGCAGAATCCCAGCAGACTGTGCAGGGGGCAAGGATTTCATGAGCATCCTCCTCTAAACCTGTGAGTGGCATGCTTCCCCCACTGGCACCACGCATGGTGGTCTTCAGAAGGTTTTGGGGGCAAGAGGCAGAGGGGTGGGATTGCTTGGGTTAGCTAATATTTTGCATATAGCAGAGATAATCAATATATCTCTAAATTTGCTCTAAATAGCAACTTAGTGATGGGTACTCACTAAAGATTCCATTTCCTTCTGGGCAATTCTTACTCCTGTTCCTCCCATGACAGTCCAGGTATCAAGACAAATAGCAAATCAGAGCAAATTTAGAGATCTATAGATTATATTAAAATAAGCGTCAAACTAATGAACAATGCAGGTTCATGAGGTGGTCTCCACTGATTTGTTCGTACTTTTATTCAACAAATATTTATTCATTTACTGTACTGTACTAGGTGCAGGCTTTTTACTGGCGCCTGAGGATTTGACAGTGAAATAAGTCACAGTCCTTCCCCTGTGGAGTTCACAGCCTGGTAGGAAAGGTGGTCAAATAATCAGGGAAGTGTTACCCAGGACCTTGATCAGGATAATGAAGGCAGCAAGGTGGGACTCTCCCAACTTAGAATCTGGGGAGGGGCCTACAGTAGGCTTCACAGAGGGCATGATATAGGAATTGACCTAAGTGGAAAAGTAAAGAAGAAGAAAACTATTTTAGGCAGAGAAGACAGCGTATGAAAAGGAACCAAGAGTATGGGCTTGGAGTCAAGTCTGACTTTTCAAATCCCAGCTCCTTCACTCACTGGCTGTGTGTCTCCGGGCAAGTTGCTGTAGCTTTCTGACCTTGGTTGCCCATTTGTAAAATAAGAAATAACTACATCTATCTTAATGGAATGTTAAATGTTAAGAGTAATGGGAACTCACTGAAGAGACCATTTCCCTCTGGGCAATTCTCACTTTGTTCTTCCCATGACTGTCCAGGTGTCAAGACAAAAGATGCTTCAGCTTTGGAAACTTGTTCTCCTATGTGGCGTGCTCACTGGGACCTCCGAGTCTCTTCTTGACAATCTTGGCAGTGACCTAAGCAATGTCGTGAATGAGCTGAAACCTATTCTTCACGATGGACTTGAGACAGTTGACAATACTCTTAAAGGTAAATCAACGAGGGTTACGAAGAGTGTCACCTAAATTAGCCTCCTAAACACTATGCCTGCATTACCAGAGGCTGCCACTAGGGGCTACTCTTTATGGGTGGTTTACTGAGAAAAGTGGCTATTGAATTCCTGGCTCATTCATTTCTTTCTAGAAACAAGCAATGCCACAATGACTATCCTTTTACATATTATATCCTGAAAAACGTTTGCCAATATGTGCATAAGATAAATTCCTACAAGTGGGATTTCAAAAGTTCAAAAACTATGCCGTTGACAAATAATCTCCTATGTTAACACTGTCTCCAACAGTCTACGAGAGTGTTTTTTTTCCCACCCCTTTTCCAGCAGTGGGTCTGGACAACTTTAAATGTTCTGCCTGTCTCACAGATGAAAAGCTATAACTTATTTCACTTTGCATTCCTCTAAGTTCTCCAGAGACCTATCGTAAAGACACTTTGCCCTCCTCCTCCTATAAGAATTACTGCTTTCTTTCTTTTCTTTCTTCATGCTTTTGGTGTCATGAAGTTTTTGCCCATGTCTATGTCTTGAATGGTATTGCCTATGTTTCCTCCTAGGGTTTTTATGGTTTTGGGTTTTACATTTATGTCTTTAAACCATCTTGAGTTAACTTTTGAATAAGATGTAAGGAAGGGGTCCAGTTTCAGTTTTCTGCATATGGCTAGCCAGTTTTCCCAGAACCATTTATCAAATAGGGAATCCTTTCCCCACTGCTTGTTTCTGTGAGGTTTGTTGAAGATCAGATGGTTGTAGATGTGTGGTGTTATTTCTGAAGTCTCTATTCTGTTCCATTGATCTGTATGTCTGTTTTGGTACCAATGACCTGCTGTTTTGCTTACTGTATCCTTGTAGTATAGTTTGAAGCCAGGTAGCATGATGCCTCCAGCTTTGTTCTTTTTGCTTAGGATTGTCTTGCTATATGGGCTCTTTTTTGATTCCATATGAAATTTAAAGTAGTTTTTTCTAATTCTGTGAAGAAAGTCCATGGTAGTTCAATGGGAACAGATTGAATCTGTAAGTTACTTTGGGCAGTATGGCCATTTTCACGATATTGATTCTTCCTATCCATGAGCATGGAAAATTGACAAATGGGATCTAATTAAACTGAAAAGCTTCTGCACAGCAAAAGAAACCAGCATTAGAGTGAACAGGCAGTCTATAGAATGGGAGAACATTTTTGCACTCTACCCATCTGACAAAGGTCTAATATCAAGAATCTACAAGAAACTTAAACAAACTTACAAGAAAAGAACAAACAACCCCATCAGAAATTGTGCAAAGGATATGAACAGACACTTCTCAAAAGAAGACATTTATTTGGCCAACAAACATATGGAAAAAAGCTCATCATCACTGATCATTAGAGAAATGCAAATCAAAACCACAATGAAATACCATCTCATGCCAGTAAGAATGGCAATTATTTAAAAGTCAGGAAATAATAGATGCTGGCAAGGCTGTGGAGATATAGGAACACTTTTACACTATTGGTGGGACTGTAAATTAGTTCAACCATTGAGGAAGACAGTGTGGCTATTCCTCAAGGATCTAAAACCAGAAATACCATTTGACCCAGCAATCCCCATTACTGGATATATACCCAAAGGAATATAAATCATTCTACTGTAAAGACACATGTACACATATGTTTATTGCAGCACTATTTACAATAGCAAAGACATGGAACCAACCCAAATGCCCATCAATGATAGACTGGATAAAGAAAATGTGGTACATATACACCGTGGAATACTATGCAGCCATAAAAAAGAATGAGATCATGTCCTTTGTAGGGACATGGATGAAGCTGGAAGCCATCATCCTCAGCAAACTAACACAGGAACAAAAAATCAGACACTGCATGTTCTCACTCATAAATGGGAGTTTAACAAAGAGAACACATGGATGCAGGGAGGGGAACAACACACACTGGGGCCTTTTGGGGGCTCGGGGGCAAGGAGAGGGAGAGAATTAGGACAAATACCTAATGCATGTGGGGCTTAAAACCTAGATGACGGGTTGATAGGTGCAGCTCACTACCGTGGCACATGTATACCTATGTAACAAACCTGCACATTCTGCACATGTATCCCGGAACTTAAAGTAAAAGAAAAAAAAAAAAGAAAGCATTATTGCTTCGTGGGCCTGCTGCAAAGCTGTCATTCTGGGACTCTCATTTGCCAGTTTCATGGATTGGAGCCATTTTTTCTCCTTGATTCTAGATTTTTCATTTCTTGAGTGTATTCTCTCATTCTTTCTAGTTTTTCAAACTCACGTGAGCATCTCACTTAACACAATAGACCCCTAAGTCACTCCTAAACACTGGCGTACAATCAATATCAATTGCCTGGCCTATTGGTTGATTGCTCTGTTGACAAATAATCAGAATATATTATTAATAGTACGGAGGCAGCATGAAGGAAACAAGAGTTCCCTGGGTGTGTGGCTAGACACATTTCTTAACCATCTTGAGCCTTTATTTCCTTAGCTGTAAAAAAGCAGACAATGACAATATCTACCTCACTGAGTTGTTATAAAGATTAAATGAAATAACATAGGCAAACAGTCTTACCCGGTACCTGGAGCATCGTAGCTACTTCATAAGGGGTGCATGACACAAAATGGCGATTGTTTTTGGCAGGTGTCCTTGAGAAACTGAAGGTCGACCTAGGGGTGCTTCAGAAATCCAGTGCTTGGCAACTGGCCAAGCAGAAGGCCCAGGAAGCTGAGAAATTGCTGAACAATGTCGTTTCTAAGCTGCTTCCAACTAATACGAACACTTTGGGGTGAGTTGGTGCTTCAAGGTGGAGATGTTTGCTCTAAGAAAAGGGAAACATATCTTTGAGGAGGTAAGTTTAAGATGAAAGACAAGCCTCTTTCCCCTCCCACAGAGCCAAGGTGGTCTGAGCGAGGTCAGACCCACCAGAGCTTGAGTAAATTAGAGGCAGGGCTACAAGGTCAATCTGGGTGTCTTATGGGTTTGGGCTTCCATGTTCTTTAATTTCAGGGTCAGGGTGAAGGTTATATTCATCCTTACCTCTACCTGTTTGCTGGTACACAAAGTCCCTTTCCAAGGAATAAAACTTTTCTTTTTCATATGTAACTGGGGGTAAAAGCCCAGATCCCTTTAGAGGAAGGGAAACTGGAGTCTTCACCACATAACTCCAGGCAGTGGATTCACTCATAAACTTTTTATTTTATTGTTATTATTATTATTATTATTATTTTGAGACGAGGTTTCGCTCTTGTTGCCCAGGCTGGAGTGCAATGGCACGATCTTGGCTCACCATAACCTCGCCTCCCGGGTTCAAGCGATTCTCCTGCCTCAGCCTCCTGAGTAGCTGGGATTACAGGCATGTGCCACCATACCCAGCTGATTTTGTACATTTAGTAGAGATGGGGTTTCTCCATGTTGGTCAGGCTTGTCTCGAACTCCCGACCTCAGGTGATCCACCTGCCTCGGCCTCCCAAAGCACTGGGATGACAGGCATGAGCCACCGTGCCCGGCCCCACTCATGAACTTTTAAAGTCAGACTGTTCTGGCCTCAAAATCTGCCTCTGGCACTTACTCCCCTGGAGATCTGGGGGAAATATCACACCAGCCTGAGCCTTGGTGTGCTGTGCCATAAAATGGAGAGAATTAAACCTCTGAACAGGGCTATAGTGAAGACTAAAGAAGGCAAGGCTGACGAGGCCCAAACGCTCAACTCAGGGAAGTGCTTGGCAAGTGGCTGTTATGAGGAGTGACAAGGGTGAATTGTGGGTTTTACACAGGTTGAAAATCAGCGACTCCCTCATCCTGGATGTCAAAGCTGAACCAATCGATGGTGGCAAAGGCCTTAACCTGAGCTTCCCCGTCACCGCGGATGTCACTACAACCTTGTGAGTATGCGCTAGAATCTGAGATTTGGGAAAGGCAGTGCAACCTGGCCGATGGATGCCCAACCTGGGAATCAGGCACCTCCTCCCGTTACTGGGTGACCTTGGGCCTCAGTTTCCCAATCTGTGAGTGAGAGGACCCTTCTGGGTCTAAGATCTCAATCCTTAAAATGCTCTAGAGAACTCTAGCCATAATCAAGGGTCTTTTAAAAATAATACTCCAATGAATGTAGTTTTGAAATCATGACATTTATCTGGTTTTAAAATTTGAAAAGTTGAGAAAACAAGCATTTATTATTCCTTGGCAAAATTTCCTCCGGCATTATTTTGTCTCTCAAGATTCTCTCTAAATTGCAGAGACCATTACAGAAAAATTCATACAGTAATACACACTGTATAATAAAGTATGTGTGTGCAAAATATAAGTTTAAACTCTTTTAATTTTAGCTGGGAGTGGTGGCTTATACCTGTAATCCCAGCAATTTGGGAAGCTGAGGTGGGAGGATTGCTTGAGCTCAGGAGTTCGTGACCAGCCTGGACAATATGACAAAACCCTGTCTCTACAAAAAATACAAAAATTAACCAGGTGTGGCGGTGCACGCCTGCAGTCCCAGCTACTTGGGAGGCTGAGGCAGGAGGATTGCTTGAGCCCGAGAGGTCGAGGCTGCAGTGAGCCCTGATTGCACCAGTGCACTCCAGCCTGGGTGACAGAGTGAGACCCTGTCTCACGAAAGTTAAAAAATTTTAATTTTAAAGGAGATAGACAAGAAAGGAGCATGTGTGAAAGCACTTCTGTAAACTACATGCACTAATGGTGCCATCCATCATTTAGCTATGAGATCTTGGGAAAGTTACTTAACCTCTCTGTACCAAGGTTTCCTCATTCAGAAAATAGGGATAGTAATAAATGAAACCAGGTAAAATACATTTTAAAGTACCTACACATAAATTGTTGTCAATAAATATTAACTATTATTATTTTACCTATTAGTGTAATGTTGTGTAAAAAATTCATATGAGCTAAACCCAAGTGGCCAGGAGAAGCCCCTAATATAAACATGTAAATTTCATAGAGGATATGGACCATGTTGATATTACCTGGGCCATGTTGACATTACACATAGACATTCTGACTCATGTCTACACAGGTGGAAGAACCCAACTGGGCAACAGGCAGGACCTTCTAGACTCTGTTCACTGTGCATCTTACTTCCTGCAGGCCCATCATTGGCCAGATTGTCAACCTGAAAGCTTCCTTGGACCTCCTGACTGCAGTCAGCATTGAAACTGATCCCCAGACAAATCAGTCTGTTGCTGTCCTGGGAGAATGCGCCAGTGACCCAACCAGCATCTCACTATCCTTGCTGGACAAGTAAGTCCTGTCATCTTAGCAGAGCTGGGCTCTCAGGGAACTTGAGGACCCCTAATTTCAGCTCTAGTCCTATAAATAAGAGGAGGCCTCGTGGTGAAAGTGTTCAGGCTCTGGGGTCATGTTGACCTTGGTTTAAACATCAGCTCTGCCACTAACTTGTAACTTTATCACCAACTTGATCCTCTAAGCCTGTTTTCACATCTGTAAACTGGGGGTGTTCATAATAACTACTCATAGGCTTCTGAGATGACCAGATGAGAAAATACAAATATTTAGCATGCAGCCTAGAACATGCTGCCTCTCTCCCTGCTGGTTCTCTCCATTACTGAGACTGGAGTGTTGAGCTCCCCATCATAATCATTAATTTCTTCATTTCACCTTTCAACTCTGTCAGTTTCTGGTTCATACCATTTGGAGCTCTGTTGTTAGGTGCATGCACATTAGGATTGTTATGACTTCTTGGAGAATTGTCCCCTTTATTGTTATGTAATGTCCCTCAATAATAATAATAATAATAATAATAATAAAATTATATTTACCTTCTTGCCTCCAGAAGGAGGGAGAGGGGAGAGTAAGCGCCTGCCATGGGCTCTAATTTCAGATTGTCCCCAAATTGTTCTCCACCCAGTGGAAATTTCCTGAAAGGAGATCTTGAAAACTTAATCCTCCCCATTTAAATCATTGATCCCTTTTAATCCACAAAATCTACATCTTAAGCTCTGTGCTTGAAAGAGCAGGTCTGACTCAGACAAGAGGGTGGAGGGAAAAAGAGTGACACTGGCCGATGGCTGGGAGAAGAAGAACGACCCAGAAGCTGAGGGCTGGGGCTATTTGGCCTTGGCCAGGAGCAAGGCTGGGTCCTCAGCTCTCAGCCCTGATGGCCATGAGCAGAGGACACTCCACTTGCCCTGCACTGAGGAATCTGAACACAGGTTGCCCAAAGACCCCTGAAAACCAAAGAAGGTTTCCATAGCCTGATGTGAGTTGCAAAGCCCGGGATGTAAATTCAGAGACTGGAGTCTGGCTGGGTGCTATCTTCCCAAGTAGCCTCAGGAACTCCATCCTGCTGCACTGGGTCTGTGCCCACATCTGTGAGATGGCACCACTCTGCAGCTCCAGATCCTTCCAGGGCCTTTCTTTGCACTTGTGGTTCCATCCCAAGTGCTCCCCATGGTCATGTAGGCTCTGTTTGATCTGGCCCCACCCTTGTATCCCTGCACCCTCCCCTTACTCACTGTGCCCAGATACAGTGGCCTTTGTGCCGTGCCTCAGATAGGCTCTTTCCCAGCTCAAGACCTTTGCATGGGATGCTCTGGCTGCCTAGAGCATCTTCTTCTCACTCTGCTTCAATGGACTGCTGCATCCTGCAGGGCCTTCACAGGGCTCCTCCTATTCTCTCTCGTAAGAGTCTACTCTTGCCTTTAAAGCACTTGTCACAAGTTCTCAACGTATATTTAATTGCATGTTCACTTTTTTCATTCTTTCAGCCAAAAATGTATTGAGACTGAGCATGGTGGCTCCACACTGGTAATTCCAGCACTTTTGGAGGCTGAGGTGGGCGGATCAGTTGAGGTCAGGAGTTCAAGACCAGCTTGGCCAACATGGCAAAACTCCGTCTCTACTAAAAATACAAAAATTAGCCAGGGTTGGTGGCGAGTGCCTGTAATCCCAGCTACTTGGCACGCTGAGGCACAAGCACTGCTTGAACCCAGGAGGCAGAGGTTGCAATAAGCCGAGATGGTGCCACTGCACTCCAGTCTGGGTGACAGAGCAAGACCTTGTCTCAAAAAAAAAAAAAGGTGTATTGAGCAGGCACCATTCTGGGCTCTGGAGAACTGATTGGTAATGACAAACAAGGTCCCTGTTCTTGCGGAGCTTACCTAAGGGAAAGCTAAGCTGGCCTGGATCTGTGTCCACATCTGTGAAATGACACCGCTCTACAGCTCCAAATCTTCTCAGGGCTTTTCTTTGCACTTTGGATCAAATCAACCCAAATTCAGTCCATCAGTAAAGAACGCTCCAGGGAAATATGAGTCCTGCACAGAGCATTACCCTTAACAGGGCACTGTGATAGCAAAGCCCTCTCTTAGATAAGTAGTCAGGGAAGGCTGCCCTGCGGAGGTGGCAGTTATACTGACAGTTGAAGGTGGGAGGAGCCAACCTTGGCAAGAATTGTTTAGGTACCACATTAGGGTATGTTTGGACCGTTAATGTTTAGGTACCAGGTTAGGGGATGTTTGTACTTCGCTCATTCAGTACCAGGGCCCAGCTAGGTTCCTGGTGCATAGTTGGTGCTCTGTGAATATGGGTTGAATGAATGAACGAATAAGGTCTCTGTGCTGAGAATCTCATGAGGCCCTGGGGTGAGCCGCTGGTCAGATGTGGCGATTCTAAAGGTGATGATCCATTGTGGGCTCGCTGTCTGTAGTTAAGAAAGGGTTTCCATGTCTGGAGTTCTCTGGACTCGACAGTTGTTTCCCCCCCAGCTTTTGCGAGTTTCCCCCCATCTCTTGGCCACTAGTGAGCTTTAAACAGTTCCTTTGTGGTTTGCGGAAGGCGCAGCCCAAATCATCAAAACGTCCGTGAATTTAGAGTGATCAACAACGCTGGAAAGGGCACCGTTCTTCCTGGGTGCAGGAAAGGGAGTAAGTCTTCCATCCTTGGGGGCCAAGGATCCAGGCCTGGGTCGTGGCATTTTGGAAGGGAATTTGCAGCCGGCTGTATCCTCTGGTGGTATTTTCTTTAGAGTGGAAAGCTTCTCCCCCTGGGGAGGTAGCTGGAACTTCCTTCCCTATTATCAGCCTGGGGGGGGCAAGGCAAGGGAGAGAACAGAGGCTGCTGACATTCAGCTGGAATTGCCGGACCAAACTTGAGCACTAATCATATTCCATGCACACCACATATGCTTTCTTTTTTTTTTTTTTTTTTTTTTTTTTTTTTTTTGCGCTAAAATTCTTCGACACAATCTGTTCTTAAATACAGTTTCTCTTAGAAAGCATTTATTTTTAAAAAAACTTTAGGTAGGTCCCTATCCCACAAATAGAAAATTATAATCACATATCATACATCAATGGAAAAACTAAACACAGACTTATAAAATAGTTTTTAATTTTTTTTTCCATCTGTGGCATCATCCAGAACCATGGGTACCATGTGCAGGATTCCTAGGGCCCACAGTTGCGAGAGATACTAAATCCAGTCATTTGGAAGGGGACCCAGGAATGTGGGGTTTTATTAAGAAAACCGCTCCGGATGGCCGCGTGACCCACTGAAACGGAGTTTATTTATATTGCAAGTGTGGTCCTCCACCAGCTTCAGCCTCAGCTGGGCGGCTTGATAGGAACATGGAATCTCAGCCCCCACCCCAGACCTGCTGAATTGCCAATCTGCAGGGAACTGTGTACACACAAGAGCATGAGATACTCTGCTCTACAACCTCAGGGCAAAACGCCTCAGGGCCACCATTGACCTTTAAAATTCCAGGGTTTCCAAAGCTCAACAACATGGGGATGTCAACACTTAGAATGTAGATTTCTGAGGGTCCTAGAATTCTAGTGTTCTAAGGGTTTAGGATTCTAACCACCTAGGGTTTCCAGATTTAAGATGCTGGGATCCATTTGTCTTAAAATTCCAAGTTCAGGCCAGGCACGGTGGGCTCATGCCTGTAATCCAGCTTCTTTGGAAGGTCAATGGTGGCAGATCACTTGAGGTCAGGAGTTCAAGACCAGCCTGGCCCAACATGGTGGAACCCTGTCCTACTAAAACACCAAAGAATTAGTCAGGCATGTTTAGGTACCAGCTTAGGGGGATGTTTGTACTTCGCTCATTCGGTACCAGGGCCAGCAACGGTTCCTGGTGCAGGAGTTGGTGCTCTGTGAATATTGGGTTGATGAATGAACGAATAAGGTCTCTGTGCTGAGAATCTCATGAGGCCCTGGGGTGAGCCGCTGGTCAGATGTGGGATTCTAAGTGATGATCCATGTGGCTCTGTCTGTAGTTAGAAAGCAGTTCATGTTCCTGGGGTTTACAGGCACATGTCCCAGTCTCTTGGGAGACTGAGGCAGGAGAATCACTTGAATCTGGGAGGCAGAGGTTGCGGTGAGCAGAGATTGTACCACTGCATTCCAGCCTGGGCAAGACAGTGAAACCCTGCCTCAAAAAAAAACCAATAAAACAAAATGAAATCCTAAAGTTCAAAGGTTCTAAGATCCCTAGAAATGAGCTCCTCTGTGGGTGGCAAGCAGTTTGTTTCTAGCCCAGGAGAACGGTCTGTTCTTCCTCCTTCTCCTGACCGTCCTCTTCCTCCTCTCTCTGGCTGTCAGATATGCCCACTGATCCGCATCTTCCTCCACTCTCTGGATGTGAAATTCATTCAGCAGATCATCGGTAAGTCAATGGGGAAGTGGGGACCTTCTGAGGCAGGCCTGGAGCTCTGTGCCCACCGCATAAACAGTTCTGGTCAGGAGACCCTGGAGAAGCAGAAGAACCCACTCTCCTAAGCAAATTAGGAGCTGTGGCTTCGCTCCACAGGCACTTGGGGACTCTCTTTGGCTTTTGGGTCTACAGGCATGGCTGAGGTTGCTGGGGAGAAATGGAGTAAGTAAAGGTGTCAAGACCCTGGAGGTGACCCTTCTATGAAAATAGCCACAAGTCAGCCAGGAACAGTGGCTCACACCTGTAATCCCAGCACTTTGGGAGGCTGAGGTGGGCAGATCACTTGAGTTCAGGAGTTTGAGACCAGCCTGGGTGACACGGTGAAATCCCATCTCTACAAAAAAAATACAAAAATTAGCCAGGTGTGTGGCATGCACCTGTAGTCCCAGCTACTCAGGAGGCTGAGATGGGAGGATTGCTTGAGCCTGGGAGGCGAACATTGCAGCGAGCCGACATCATGCCACTGCACTCCAGCCTGGGCGACAGAGTGAGATCCCGATCTCAAAAAAAAAAAATTTAAAAAAAAAAGAAGAAGAAAAGAAATAGCTGCAAGTCCAGTCCCTTAGGCAGTCACTTCGTGCTCTGTACTCACTATCTCACTGGATCCTTGCAACAACCCTGTGGGGTGGGTACAGTCATTGTATCCACTCTACAGATGAACAAACTGAAGCTCAGAGAGGTGTAGTAACATCCCTGGGGTCCCACAGCTGTCAGGTGACCTGCAGGAGAGCGGCATCTTTTGGAGTCTGGTCTCTATTCAATTTTCCAGAGGCAGAGACTAAAACCTGCTATTGATTTTGTTTCAGATAATCTTCAGCATGAAACCCAGCTGCAAACCTATATCTGAAGAGGATGAATGATGAGGACCACTGTGATGCCTGCTGGTGAGGAGCCAGGCTCTAAGCCCCAATGCACAGGGCCTATGGTGAAGAAAAGCCAAGCATGGCTTCCCTTCTTTTTGTGTTAGAAGACTGTGCCTTCATCTCAGTCATAGACTGAGCACTGGCCCCTGTCCCAGGCTAGGGCCTGATTCTGGTCACACTCTGAATACTGAGCCTTAATCACTGAACTATGATTCTGGCCCTAGACTGAGCCTGGATCCTAGTCACAGACCGAGCTTTGATGCCAGTTATTGACTGAGCCTTAGTCTTGGTCACAGACTGAGCCCCAACCTTGGTCTCAAATGGATCCATGATTCTGATCACATATTGGGCCCTGAACCTGGCTCCAGTGGTGGCCTGCAATCCATCTTTCCACATCTGCCCTTGTTCTGAAGGAGGGTGAGGGGAATATAGATGAGTCAGTGCTAGGTGCCAATGAAAGACCCCAAACCACAGGTCCCAGTTTCTTCTTCCCAGGACTTCAACCACATGGGGTATTGTGGGAAAGAGCTGGGACACTGGAGCCAGGTCAACTTGGGTCCCATCAAGTGCCCAGTGGATGACAGCTGGGTATAAGGGCAGCCTAGCTGCAAATGTCCTAACCCCCCGTGGTCTCATTCCAGATTGGTTCCCAGTGGCTTGTGCCACCCCCTTATAGCATCTCCTTCTGGGAAGCTGCTGCCACCACCTAACCAGCGTGAAAGCGTAAGTCCCACCAGAAGGACCCTCCCAGATGCCCTCCTGCTCACAGTCAGAACAGCGGTGTCTACACATGCTCTCCTGTCCCTGGCAATAAAGGCTCACTTCTGCACCCTTCTGTGTGGCTCATTGTGTTCCCTCCATTTGGGATTTGTTGGTGGGAATTGGGGAGGGAGGTTGGGGACTGCAACTAGGGTGGGAGAGACCTGGATCCAGAGCTAGAAGGCTCAGTGAGAATATCCAGCCCCATCTCCTGGTTCTATAAAGGGGGCCACGGAGACACAGAGAGGCAACCAACCAGCCCAAGTCTCACAGCCAGTCTGTGGCGATGGCAGACCTCTGATCTATCCATTCACGCATTCAACAGGTATGTAGTGAGCACCTACTCTGTGCCAGACAGGCAGTGGGAACTGGAAAGTCACATTCTGGGAGCAGTCCCACCCGGCGCTTTCCTCCATTCCTCTCCAGGGGCCCTGAGGATTCTCGGAGAATCAGGGGACACCCCGCCTGACTGGAGTCAGGAGTATAAGGCAGAGTGATGCAGGCTCAGAGGCCTGTGGCCCCATCTCCACCTGCCCTGTTGGCCCCACTGCCCTCTAGGGGCCCCACTGGAGCAGAGATGTCTTTTCCAGGGGGTGCTGAGAGTTCTTGGTCTGTAGCGCCCTCACCCACCCCTCCCACCACCTGAGAGCCTGTGCACCCACCTGCCAGGCTGCCTGGAGGTCCAGCTTCCCTAGTGAGGTCGAGAACCCTGGGATGCTCACCGATCCTATGGAGACCAGCTTCTCCCTCCACCCAAAGCCCCTCCATCCGCACCCCAGAATGCAGCTCAGCCCATGCTGCACCAGGCTGTGGCAAAGACAGCATCACACTGCTCACAGCAACACGTCATGGGGGGCTGCCTTTGTGCGGCATGAGGGCTCCATTGATTCCTTATCACACCCATGCACCAGGAGAGCCATTATCACACCCATTTGACAGAGAACTCTGAGGCTGACGGAAGCAAAGTGACTCCTCTGGGTCACACAGTGAGCGAGGGGGCAGAGCCGGGCTTTGAATCCACAGCTGTAGGACCCCTGGATTTACTACAAATGAAGACACTGAGGCACAAAGAGGGCCCAGGCTCAGAGAGGTGACATCCTGGCTTCCAGGCACTTTGGCCACTACTCTTGCCAGTCTCCAGCAGGCTCCACTTCCCTGGCCCAGGACAGACGAGGTGCTCTGGGTGCTGTTCTTCTCCCCCATGTGTGGACCCTCGGCTCTTCCTTTGTTCTAGAAGGGGCAGGACACTGCCCGTTCCCACAATCGCGTTGGCCTCAGCAGAGATGCAACACGGGCCACACACTAATGCACGCTGTCGCCTCATGATCCCAGCAGCCTCTCCTTTCCAGTAGGGAACCCAGCCCCAGGAACCTTTGCCAATTTTGCCAAGCAGCCATCTCATTACTCTGCACAACTCTAGGAGGCAGGGATGGCTCTTGTCTCCACGAGAAACGCAAACTCAGAGAGGTCAAGGCCACACAGAAGCCTGCACCCAGCTGCTAATTCACTCGAGGGCTTCCTCTCTGATGAAGGCAGTCTCACGGAGTCAGGTGGCCTACGGGGGCCCTTTGATTCCTTAAAGTTGCCTAGAGGGCCTTGGACCAGCAAGCTGAATCTCCTCCTGAGCCCCTCTGCTGAAGACCTCAGCCCTGGCTATGACTGTGAGTTGCTTGACACAGGGTGAAACTGAGGACTTAGGCAGATCTGAGTTCAAGTCTGCCACTTTCTAGCAGTGTGACCTTGGGCAAGTTACTTAACCTCAGCTTTCTCACCTGTCAAATGGAATTATTAGAAAATCTGCCTCACTAGGCTTGTGAGGATTAAATGAGGAGTCAGTGAGTGGAAAGTGTTTAACCAGGGCCTCATATCAAATAAGCACAGGATGAATGTTGGCCTCTACACCCTGAAACTACTGTTACAACTGCCATGCTCAAGTTTGTTGACTGACAGATAAAAATATGGTAGAAGAATTGTGGCCCAAGGAGATCTTGAGTTTCTACCTTGTCTCTATGAGGGAGGACTGCTAACTAACTCCCAGTGTGCATTCTTCTCTCCCCAAGATTTGGCTAGACATATGGACCCCAGCCAGAGACCACATCTCCCAGCCTCCCTTGCAGCTAACTGTGGCCATGTGACTAAGGTCTGGCCAATGGCATATAAGCAGAACTAATTATGCAAATTCCACTTTGTGCTTTAAAAGGAAGGGGATTCCCTCAACTTCCTCCTGGCATTCTCCCTCCTCTGCAGTTAGAAATGGGAGCAATTGGAGCAACTGCTCTGGACCCAGAGGTGGAAGCCCTGTGTTGAGAACACCACAGCTGCTTCAGCAGCCCCAGACCACTCAGCCCTGGGCTCTTAAGGGAGAAAGGAATGAACTTGCTTATTTAAACCACTATGTTGGGGTCTTTTTGCTAAGTCTGCTTTGTCTACATTGTACCTAACTCATTCTTCCAGTCACATGCTGTGTGACCATTAGGCAGCCGACTTCCCCTCTCAGAGCCCTGTTTCCATATCCCCAAAGGTTCTTCCCACTCTGACAGGACAGAAGCTAACGTTTCTTCCATAACTGAAGAGGGAAGGAAAGAATAGACATTTGTTAAGTTTCTACTACATGCCAGACACTGTATTAGACTGATGATGACTTTGCCCTCCAGGGAACATTTGGTAATGTCTGGTGTGAACCCCGAAAATTTGAGACAGGTCTCAGTTAATTTAGAAAGTTTATTTTACCAGCGTTGAGGATGTGCGCCCATGACAGCCTCAGAAGGCCCTGACGACATGCGCCCAAGCTTGGTTTTATTCATTTTAGGGATATATGAGACATCAATCAGTATATGTAAAAAGTACATTGGTTCTGTCCGGAAAACCGGGAAAAACAGAGACAACTCAAAGCAGGGAAAGAGCTTCCAGATCACAGGTAGGTGAGACAAATGGTACCATTCTTTGGAGTTTCTGATTAGCCTTTCCAAAGGAGGCAGTCACAATATGCATCTATTTCAGTGAGCAGAGGGATGACTTTGAATAGAACTTCCTTTCACACTGGCAATATTTTCAGTTGTCACAAATGGATGAGGCGTGTGCTACTCCAGGAGAGCACGTGAGTAGAGGCCAGGGGTGGTGCTAACCATTCCATAGTACACAGGACAGCCCCTCACAACGGAGGCATCCAACCTAAAATGTCACTAGTGTGAAGAAACCCTGTAGTAGGCAACTGGTGTGGGCTGAGGACAGTGAGGGCCAGGACCCTGGGGCACAGCCTCAGGATTCCCCACCCTTTGAGCTGGGGAGCCCGGGTTAGGCAATTTGTGGGTGACCATATCTGTGGAGGACTTTGCCGTCTGTGTTTTAGGACCTGGGGAGAAAGAACCCCGTCCCCTATCCCTCCTCCCCCATTTTAGATACCCCAGAGGGACTCATTTTGGGGTTCCCACTGACATTCAGGAAGGACACAAACCCTTCTCTGACCCAGCCAGCCCGAGTGGCCACCTGTCTTTGCCACAGTGACCCTGCTCCTATGACCCTGCGGTGTCTTGAGGCCTCCAGGAATGGCAAGGAAGGGATGCGGAGCCAGCAGGGAGACCACGGGGTTGTTGAGGAGCTGTGCCCGAAGGTGGTGCATGTCTGGAAAGGCCCTGCAGGAGCTCCCACAGGGGAAATACGTCCATGGAGCCAAAGATAAATTACAAGAGGCACCAGAAGGAACTTCCTTGATTAGAGATAGCTCCCATTCAGACGACCTATTAACAATATCTGTTAAAACATCAGCTGGACCAACTAGTCTTCCAATCAAATACCAAGATGGGAAATTCAGATTGCACTCTGTCTTTTGTGGCAAGTGTGGATTCATCTAATTGACTGCTATGTTCAGATGAGCAAGGATGAGCAGACGGGCAGGAAGGTTCCAGAACGGCACTGCTCACCTTTACTGACCAAAGCACACTACCCAGTAGCCCTGATGAGGCAGGAAAATAGGGTCTGGAGGCAGGGAACGCAAGGCCAATTCACACTTCAGCTAGGACAGGAAATACCCTCTCCACAGGGCCTACACTGGGTAAATGAGTTGGTAACTTTACTTCATCCTCTTCATTTACACAGGGCGTACCCCAAGTACAGGGTTTTTAAACTCACAAAAGCTCTGTAACAGGGCCTTTGAGCCCCTGTGCTCCGTCCTGCACCCACACTGTGGAGTGCACTTTCTTTTCAATAAATTTCTTCATTCCTTTTTTGCTTTATTTGTGTGTTTTCTCCAATTCTTTGTTCAAGACGCCAAGAACCTGGACACCCTCCACCAGAAACACCATCTCTACAGCAGCTCTGGGAACCCCCCACTGACACTCAGTGATCTCTGTGAACCCCCTGCTAACAGGCAGTGATCTCTGGGAACCCCCTGCTAACAGGCAGTGATCTCTGGGAACCCCCTGCTAACAGGCCGTGATCTCTGGGAACCCCCTGCTAACAGGCCGTGATCTCTGGGAACCCCCTGCTAACAGGCCGTGATCTCTGGGAACCCCCCGCTAACAGCCAGTGATCTCTGGGAACCCCCTGCTAACAGGCAGTGATCTCTGGGAACCCCCTGCTAACAGCCGGTGATCTCTGGGAACCCCCTGCTAACAGCCGGTGATCTCTGGGAACCCCCTGCTAAGTTATCTGGGAACCCCCCACTAACAGGCAGTGATCTCTGGGAACCCCCCGCTAACAGGCAGTGATCTCTGGGAACCCCCTGCTAACAGCCAGGGATCTCTGGGAACCCCCTGCTAACAGGCAGTGATATCTGGAAACTCTCTGCTAACAGCCAGTGATCTCTGGGAACCCCCTGCTAACAGGCAGTGATATCTGGAAACTCTCTGCTAACAGCCAGTGATCTCTGGGAACCCCCTGCTAACAGGCAGTGATCTCTGGGAACCCCCTGCTAACAGCCAGTGATCTCTGGGAACCCCCTGCTAACAGCCGGTGATCTCTGGGAACCCCCTGCTAACAGCCGGTGATCTCTGGGAACCCCCTGCTAATAGCCAGTGATCTCTGGGAACCCCCTGCTAACAGGCAGTGATCTCTGGGAACGGCCTTGACCAACAAGACTAAGTTATTTGGAAGAATATCTGTTCCAGGTATAAGTGGGGATTTTTTTGTTTGTTTTGTTTTTGTTTTTGAGACTAGAGTCTTGCTCGGTTGCCCAGACTGGAGTGCAGGGGCATGATCTCAGCTCATTTCAACCTTCACCTCCCAGGTTCAAGAAATTCTCCTGCCTCAGCCTCCCAAGTAGCTGGGATTATAGGCGCCCACCACCATGCCCAGCTAATTTTTTGTATTTTTAGTAGAGACAGGGTTTCGCCATGTTGGCCAGACTGGTCTCGAACTCCTAACCTCAAGTGATCCACCGCCTCGGCCTCCCATAGGGCTGGGATTACAGGCCTGAGCCACCCCGCCCAGGTTCTCTTTTTCTAAACATGCCTCACATAGAGTGTCTCCAAATGCAGCTATGTAAAAGAGAACCAAAACTTGAGTGACTGCTCTGAATAGCTATGAGGAATTCTTTGTAAGAACCGCTGAAGGCAATCTGATTTAAATGCGAAGAGGCAGCTAGGTATTTAAAGTTTCCCCAGATATCTTCACCTAAGTGATACCTCCCTTCCTAAGGCTGACCAAGGCCGGTTGATCCTTTTAAATTAAAAATAAAATGTCCCATGTAAAGGCTGGAGGAGTGTTTTATCAGAATGCCTTGCCTTTCTGAGGTTCCTTTCTATTAGGTCCAAGGTCTATGCTCCAGGAGGAGAGAAAGCCCTCTTCATAGGAATGCTGAAGGGATAGCAGGAACTGAGCTGATTCCAGGCTTCACTGCAATTTTATATGCCTGTTGGTCAGTCTCTTTTAGGGCATTCTATATTTTGCATTCTGATGTACCTAAGAGTTAAACAGTTGTTAAAAAGATCATGCTTGTGAGTATTCCTCTCTCATTTTGTACAATTAACCAAACAAACAAACAAGGCCTACGAAGCCCTGTATTTGTCTTTTTTTTTTTTTTTTTTGAGATGGAGCCTTGCTCTGTCACCAGACTGGAGTGCAGGGGCACCATCTCGGCTCACTGCAACCTCCACCTCCCAGGTTCAAGCAATTCTTTTGCCTTAGCTTTCTGAGTAGCTGGGATTACAGGCACATGCCACCACACCTAGCTAAGATTTGTATTTTTAGTAGAGATGGCGTTTCACCGTGTTGACCAGGATGGTCTCGATCTCCTGACCTCATGATCCACCTGCCTTGACCTCCCGAAGTGCTGGAATTACAGGTGTGAGCCACCGCACCCAGCCTGTATTTGTCTTTTTACTACATGGATGAACTCTGTCATATGAATAAATACTGTACTAATCCATTTTAAGGGAGCCTTATTTTGGAAATATTTCAAACTGGTGCCAATGGAAAAGGCTTTTTTTCTTTTAAAGCTAAAGACAAGAATGTCATGCTATACAGGTACAACTTGATCTCTGTTAATAAAAACCAATGTAGATATAGACATTTTACCCTTTGAAGTAGCTGTGTCCCAACCTGTCGCCATTGATTTTTTGGAAATGGCTTTAGAAATGTCCAAGTTGGGCTGGGCACAGTGGCTCACACCTGTAATCCCAGCACTTTGGGAGGCCGAGGGGAGCAGATCACTTGAGGCCAGGAGTTCGAGACCAGCCTGGCCAACATGGTGAAACTCTGTCTTTACTGAAAATACAAAAACTAGCCGGGCATGGTGGCACATGTCTGTAATCCCAGCTACTTGGGAGGCTGAGGCAGGAGGATCGCTTGAACCCGGGGGGCAGAGGTTGCAGTGAGCTGAGATCATGCCCCTGCCCTATAACCTGGGTGACAGAGTGAGACTGTGCCAAAGAAAGAAAGAAAGAAAGAGAAAGAAAGAAAGAAGAAAAAATAAAAAATAAAAAGAACAAAAAGAAATTTCCAAGATGTCCTTGAATTGTCTAACCATGGACATTGGCAGTTGTCTCCCTTCTATCATGTAGAATACTTTGACTTAATATTCTTCCAGATACAAGGGGATACTTGCTTGTTTTTCAAAGTGTTTATTTACTGCTGCTACTATTTGATTACAATGTATTAAATTTTAAAACCTGCGGAAGTGACGAGGTGGGGAAGAAATCCTGTAGTGGACCTCATACACATTTATTTCATTGAGTTCGGATTTTTGCTGAGTGATCCAGTGAATGAGTCTTTGGTTAGGTGTGGCAACTCAGGGTCAGAGAGGTGAAGTGACTTGCCTGAGGCCACATGGCTGGTCAGAGGCAAAATGGCATTTAATTGGAAGTTCATCTCCTCCATAGCTTTTCCCGCTAGCAAAAGATGAAGGATGCGAATTTTCCTTACTGACTATAATTTGTGGCAATCCAATCCCACAGAAAATACACAAGGAGGTGCTCAAAAGTCGGGGCTTCTTTTGGGCAGGAACTAACTCGGGTCAGTGCCAAGCCTTAGTCCATGCTGTCCCAACCACCTCGGACACCTTTCCTTCTCCCTCACCTGCTGGTTAAATCCTCCACTGCTCAGGAGTCACTGAGCGGGACTGCTCCTTAATGTTTCCAAAAATGAGACACTGTATTTCTCGACATGCAGGTCTAACCAAGCTACCTTGTCACCAGCGTCCAATGCAGAGAGAACACTCAAACATCATCAGTTCTTAATAGCGTGACTTCCACTCTTCTCGTTCACCCCTCTGCCCATCTGCCTGAGGGCAGGTGCTTCACTCCTCAACAGCTCCAGTGCCTAGCAAAGGTGCAAGCAAATAACCCATGAAGAATGAATGAATGAATGAATGAATGAGTGAATAAATGAATGAGCCTCTTCTTGACTGTACACAGACACCACCTCTGGGGCAGCTGAGTGGGTGAGTAAGCAGGAAAACTCTAGCAAACCAGGATTAGGGGGTATGGGAAACCTGCATTATTTTCTGTTAACCAGAGACAGATAATGGAGGACAAAATTGATGGACTATGGACCAAACGCATGGCTAGTAGCTGCATGGCGCCAGGCTGTGGAGGGAGTAGGGCCAAGATCACCAGGACCCACTGATGACTGATGTGGCCAATGTGGAGTGGGGGAGTGTCCCCTCTGTGAGCCTCCCTGGGGCCAGCTCTGGCTTCTTTCTCACCAAGCCCAGAACTTAAAAGTGGGGATGTGGTGAGGGCTTCCTGAAGGTGGTGATGTCCCATGAAGGAGGCTTTGGGGAAGAGGAGGATGCTTTGGGAGGGAGAGGGACATCTACCATAAGGGGATATGTGGGAAGAATGAAGGCACAACCTAAGTGGACATGAAGTTATCCAGAGAGTAAAGCACTCAACTCTAGTGCAGGCTCTTTTGAAGCCTTTATTCAGTTAAATCAATGCTGCCCATTCATATGGATCTTTCCAATGTTTGCTTGATTCATACAGGATAACATTTCAGGATTCAAACTGTTAACTCTATGCCTTGGAACATTTTGTGACCCCAGGAACACATCATGAAATATTTACCAAACTGGATCTTTCTGTTTACACTACGATGATAGCGTGTACCTATTTCACTACATCTTTGCCAGCAGATGGAAACCTTTACTGTAAATATTTGCTCTGCGAATGGGAGTAGAATAAATTTCATCACACTGGAAAAGCCAAAGTTCTCAAATTAGGGGAGTCAATTGTTACACCAACTCAACAGACTTGTTTTCTGGGCATTGTTTAAAAATGGAAAAATAACTGTAGTTTCCAGCTGGGTGGAAATAAAGATCTAAGAGTTTGCTTAGCTGGAATCACAATGATGCAAAAAAGTGGAACTGAGAAAAAAACTGAAAAGGGATGCCAAAATTTGACAGACGTTTATTCGTTAGATGTGACTTACTTCTGTGTTAGTGCATGCAAGAAAAAAAATGCATTTTCGAAAAAAAATGCATTTTCAAAAAAAATAGGAAGGTTGTTGAGTATCTAGCTGAGCCAAGCCTGTGCTGAGCAATTCAGAGATGACCTAAGCAGTGTCTCTCCAACCTCAGCATGCAAGGAATGTGTTCCTGCTACACTTGTTGCAGGGACTGGAGGGACTGAGAGGGGAAGAGGGCAAGACCTGTTCCTACCATCAAAAAAGTACAACCTGTTCCTGCTGCAATAACAAAATATCTTAGACTGAGTAATTTATAAATAATAGAAATTTACGTCTCACAGTTATGGAGGCTGGAAGTCCAAGATCAAAGTGCCAGCAGACTTGGTGTCTGGTAAAGGCTTTCTCTCTGCTTCCAAGATGACACCTTCTCACTGCAATCACAAGAGAGAAAGGACGAAAGGGCAAAAAGGGACAAATGTTATGTCCTCACATGGCAAAAGAGAAGTGGAGGGGCTAGGCAGCTATCTGAGGCCACCTTTATAAGGACACTGTCCTATTCATGAGTACAGAACCCTTATGACTTAATTGATTCCCAACAGGCCTCACCTCTTAATACCACTGCTTTGGGGTTTAAGTTCCAACATATGAATTTTGGAGGGACACATGCATTTAAACCATGCACGTGTTTTAAGACATCTTTGCAATTAAGGCTTTAGTGGGGTCCCAACCTCTCAAATGGTTGAGCACATCTGTTCTCAAGTCTTCAAGGAACAAACCTCTTCAGTAAGATAGAGAACAGTTACTCCTACCCCACAAGGAAGCCACAGCTCTGCTCTAAAAGGAGGAAATTATGATGTAGTGTGAAGGTTACAAGCTTTCATAGAAGGTAGAACTAGATTCAAATCCTGATTCTATTATACACTAGCTCTAGGACCTTGGGCAAGATTTGTCTTCTCTTGAGTCTTAGTTTCCTTATCTGTAAAATCAGGTTAATTAGTTCTTGCATGATAAGGATGCATTTGTGAAAATTGCCTGTCAATGTGAGCTATTATTTTTATAGATGGAGAGACGGAGACCCGGAAAGGGCTTGGGAGCTGTCCAGCATCAAACAGCAAGAAATGGGCAGCACCATGCTGGAGCTCAAGGGTCTGGGACCACAGACCAGTAAACTGAAGCTAGGACATCCTCTGCCTCCCCACTCACAGAAGACCAAGCGGCTTCCTTCCTCAGAGTCACCAGACCCATCTCGCTTATTGTACAGATGAGAAAAGCAGCTCAGAGCGGGGCAGGGATGTGAATGTGACTCCTGCACACCGTCTTCCCGCTTGCAGCCCCTCTCGGTGCTCTCCATACTCTCTGCACCTCTCCATTTGACGGCATTCGTGATTTACAGATTCAAATATGTTGTTGACATTTTCCCGGGCCTTCCAGGCAGGCATGTTTGCTTTGGAGGTATTGGATAGACGTGGTAAAATCAAGGGCTTTCCATCAGTTTCCTAGCTGTCCATCACCCAGTGCCACGTCTCTCCCAGCAATGGGATCACTTGCCATTTATACAGTCTGCTCCCCTACAGAGTCATCGAGAATCAACCTACAGAGGCCAGAGTGTCTCGACAGCACACCAGAGAAATCCAGGTAAGCACAAGGCAATGGCATTCTCCAACCTGCCTTTTCATCAGATGCTGAACCAGACTAAAGCTTTTGATACATGTTACCGGTTACAAATTGTGTTTGGTTCTAGCACAGAATATGAAAAATTATGGCTTCCGTCATAATGAGAAGCCCAGAGTTAGGCTGGCAGAGCCTGCCATCTCCTTCCTTGGCTACCCCTAGCATGTGGCTTTCATCTTCCTTCTAGTAAGAAAACTGCTGGGCTCCAGTCATCATGTCTTACATGTAATCGGGAAAAGGCAGGAGAGGAAAACAAAAGCATGTGCTTTGCAGCTGGATCAGTCACTCTAGAGAACGTTTTAAGAAGCCCTGACCTACAATTTCCATTTATATCTCATGGACCACCCCTGGTTGCAAAGAAGGTTGGGAAAGATAATTTCCTTGTCAAGCACATTTCTTCCCTCAAAAATAAAAGGATTCTATAAATAAAGAGGGAAGAATGGGCATGTGCCCTCAGCTCTCCAAGCTTCCATTTCCTGCTCTTTAAAGGAAGCATGTCAATAACTGTCTTATAGGATTGGGATGTTGTAAGGAATCGGGGCACTCCTCCAGCACCCAGCAGGAAAGATGCTTCCCGGCCACCCTCCCCTCCTTCAGACTGTCTGTGTGTCTTCCAAGGGTACTTACTGTCAGAACCAGGGAGGGATAAAGAGGAACTTTAATTTGCAAATTCAAAATTAACTTCTATTTAGTGGCACTAGGCTAAACAATTTTCAAAATGCTTGCTGAATTCTCCTACTAACCTTTTTGAGTGAGATGCAGATTAAAGTATAAAAAATTAACAAGCGGGAGAGCCAGGTGCTAGCCACTAACTACAGCTGGCCTTAAGAAAACTTAACCCTGATCCGAGCCTCTGTGTCCCATCTGTAAAATGGGTATTGGGCTGGGTGCAGTGGCTCATGCCTTTAATCTCAGAACTTTGGGAGGCTGAGGTGGGAGGATCACGAGGTCAGGAGTTCGAGATCAGGTTGGCCAATATGGTGAAACCCGTCTCTTCTAAAAATACAAAAATTAGCCAGGCATGGTGGTGCATGCCTGTAGTCCCAGCTACTCAGGAGGTTGAGGCAAGAGAATTGCTTGAACCTGGGAGGTGGCGGTTGCAGTGAGCTGAGATCGTGCCACTGACTCCAGTCTGGGTGACAGAGCAAGACTCCATCTCAAAAAAAAAAAACAAAAAAAACCGGTATTGGGTGGGTAGGAATGAGTCCAAATGACTCTTTTGCTCCCCCCAATCTCCTTTAGCTCCATAGAGAACTTCTCAGAGTGACCCTGAAGCTGACTCTGCTTACCTGGTATCCCATGGGTACTGCCCCAAGACGCTGAAGGTCGCGGGCCTCCTCATCCTCTGTTGGTTTCTTGCCCTGTTGTCTGCTCAATATTGGAATATTTGACTTGCCTGTGGATTTATTTATCGTATATTTTAATTTCTTGGCCTTTAATCCCTTGGTCATTTTTTAAGCATGCATGCCTTGTAAATTTTTATTGGATGCTGAACACGATGGTGAATGACATTATCTTTTTTCCAGAAACGAAGATGGCAGAAAGATAGAGCAGAAATGGATCATGACCCTGCCTAGGCTTAGCTTTGTGTTTTATTATGTAGAACTATTTTGGTCTTGTTCTTACTTTTAGAGGGAGACTATTTCTAGGGTGTGGCCCTTTCTCTTAGAGCATAGTCTTTTGTGTCTTCACTGAGAGCTTAAGATGTGTACCAAAGTCCTTCCCATCAAAGGGGCCCACCTCCAACCAGCACTTCCTTCCCCAGCATCACACAGCGGAGGTGCTGATGTCTCTGTTCAGCTTTTTAACTTTCAGCTGCTGTTTTCTGCCTCAAGCCTGAGAGTCCCACCCTGCAAGGGCGCAGCTTAAAAGCTGAGATTTCAAGGCTCCTTCCCTGGGGACCTTCCTCTGGGCCACTTTGGTGGCCCCAAATTCCAATTCCAATTTTTGTCTCCTCATCCCTGTAAGACTAGCTCTTTTTGCTTGGACTCTAGTTGATACGTTGGAAAATGACCTCAAGCAAAAGCTGGGGTGAATATGGAGCCCACCTTGAATGATGTCTCTTTCTCAAGAATCACAGCATTTCAAATTGTGCCCGTGTAGTTGCTCATGGATGTCCTCCTTTGTTTTTATAGATTTCCATCTCTTATAGTTGACTTTAGTTGGGAGGGTTAGTCTGATGCAAGATACTCTGTCGTGATCAAAACCAGAACTCTGCAGATGGAACTTGAGCGTAGATTTCACAAGGACTGTGAACCCTCATTGCAGTTCAGGGATAGGGTGAGAAGGATGAACACAGAGAATGCTTCCACACTTATAAAAACAGGCCAGGCGTGGGGGCTCACGCCTGTAATCCCAGTACTTTGGGAGGCTGACGGGGGCAGATTACCTGAGCTCAGGAGTTCACGACCAGTCTGGGCAACATGGTGAAACCCTGTCTCTACTAAAATTAAAAAAAAAAAAAAATTATCCGGCTGTGGTGGCTTGCACAGAGGTTGCAGTGAGCTGAGATTGCGCCACTGCACTCCAGCCTTGGTGACAGAGCGAAACTCCATCTCAAAAACAAAACAAAACACCACACATGCGCGCGCACACACACACACACACACACACACACAAAGAACTTCAGGGTTGGTTATTCCTGGAAAATGCTTCACGGGTTATAATGTGGCAGGGAAATGCAGAAAACCCCTAAGGATGTTCCTGCTGGTGCCATCTGGGGTAGAAACATGAAAATTGCCCAAAAGAGGAGACATTCCACGAACATCAGTCAATATATACCTTAGAAAATTCTGCAGACAAGGAGGTAGACAGTCCTGATGTGCTGCTACTTGAATAAATGCTTCTGTAGAAGCATGACAGGCCAATCCTTGTTTCTCATCGTGTTACATGAATGCATACCTATGGAAAGAAAAACTTCCAAAAAAAGACACAACAGAAGTTATCTCTGTGAACTTATTTTTATCTACTTCTTCTGTCTTTGTACATATCTTTACTTTCTAATTTCTCTACTTGCCTAAAAACAGATCTCCCAAATTAAAATGTTAAACCATGAGGTGGTTCACACCTGTAATCCTAGCACTTTGGGAGGCCAGGTTGGATGGATCATCTGAGGTCAGGTGTTCGAAACCAGCCTGGCCAACATGGTGAAACCCCATCTCTACTAAAAATACGAAAAAATTAGCTGGGCGTGGTGGTGGGTGCCTGTGATCCCAGCTACTTGGGAAGCTGAGGAAGAGAATTGCTTGATCCCAAGAGGTGGAGGTTGCAGTGAGCAGAGATCATACCACACTGCACTCCAGCCTGGGCAATAGAGTGAGACTCTGTCTCAAAATAAATAAATAAAATAAAATAAAATAAAATGCTAAACCAAATGGGCTATGAATTTACATGAGAAAAGTGACCAGGGACTGGGCTGAGAGTCTCCTTGGAATCTGTCAAGTGTCTAAGGAGAGAACCGGCCCCTACCAGCCTCTACCTGTTAGTCTCAGGTCCCAGTGGGGCCATTTGCACTGGCATTTGGCTGAAGTCCCAGGAAGCCACATGAACACCTGCATGCACCTCCTTTCCAGGAGGGGTGGAGCATGTGTCAAGGTCCCAAGGGGCACTCCCAGACCAGGCAGTGTGCCGTTCAAACGGGCACAGTAGATGGGCCTGTAGTGTCCACATACTCCAGCCCTAGTCCCTCAGCCTGGGCCCTTCTTGTCCGTGCTGCGGAGCCTACTCTCTCCCACCAGCTCAGGGAGGTAAGCCCTTGAAAATGTCAAGTGAAAATCATGATCATAATGATGCATCGGCACAGTGGTGACCATTTGTGAAGCACTTACAATGCGCAAGGTGCTGTGCTAAGTGCTTACAACAAGGGCAAGAGGAAGGTATGCGTTTGTATCCTCTGCATTTTCCAGGTGAGGAAAGCCTCAGGTATCCAGCAAGTAGGTGGCAGAGCTGGGATTCCATCCTGGGTATGTCTGTCTGAAGCCAGGGCATATCACCACCACCATTTCACTGTAAAATGAGGATAGCGTGTCCTGCATAACATCATGTGGTGAAGCAACTTGCACTAAATCCCACAATCCCACAGCTGCTAACAGGTGGGGGATTTCAGAGACCATTGTCATAACTCTAACGTTATGCAGCCTCTTGCAGCAGCCATGAGCAGCCCTGCTGGGGAAGGCAGTGTCCCTGCGGGAAAAACCATATGTCCAGCTTTTGGGCATAAATACAGGTTGTGTGGCCTTGGGCAAGTGACTTCATCTCTTGGACCCTCTGTTTCTTGCTCTAAACTCTGAGGAAAAGCAGGTCCCTCTCTGAGCCTCAGTCAACCCATCTGTAAAATGGACATGGGTGAATGGGTCCACGTGAGTTCTGTGGCCACTTCAGACCTAAGCTCTGGGAAGACCCTCTCAGAAAGTGTCCTTGCAAATGACCTCTTTTCTCTGATCCTCCACAGGGACCTAACCCAGGATGCTGAATGTCTCCGGCCTCTTCATTCTCCTCTGTGGGCTGCTTGCCTCATCCTCTGCACAGGAGGTCCTGGCTGGAGTTTCTTCCCAGCTCCTTAATGGTGAGACTGTCCTGCTCTGGGTCATGCAGAACCCTTAGCCAATGCCAGTGAAGTTCTCATTAGCAAAGTGCCTGGGACACAATTAACACTATTAATTGTTCGCTGTCCTGACTGCAACATCGTTTAATCCGCATTTTCCAAGAGCCCCCTCTTTCCTGTCTCCTTGCTGTGCTTTATCTATCGAGACCCACCATCAAAGGAACCAGCTCTACATGGACTGGTCCCTGTCCCAGCCTTTGTACCTGCTGTTCCCCCTGCCTGGAACATTCTTCCCCTACCTGTCAACATGGCTGCCTCCCTTCCTTCAGGTCTCTGCTCAAATGCCACATTTGCAAAAAGCCCTTCCTTGACCTCCTGCATAAATGAATCCCTCACCCTGCCTTTTATTTTTTCGTCATAGGATGGACTGATATTCAGTGGCACGGTCATCATGGTTAAAACATTGAAATTTTGGGGTATACTATTTGGGAAATACTTCCTGCTTACAGACTCTCCAGGTGCCCCCCATTGCCCCAATCATCCCAGCTTCACCCCCAGAACTCCAGCTTCCCCATGAACTAAACAACTATGCAGTTAACACCTGGCACAGCCTGGGGACCCCAGGACCTGGGTCCAGAGCTATGGCCAGTGCCCCTGTTGAGCTTGTTGCTAAATACTTTGAAACCAGCCTCTTCACAGCACTTGTTTGCACCTGAATCCTGCCTGTCCCTTTATCCTCCACTTTTTCATCTGTCTCTCCTCAGCTCCGTAAGAATGCCAGCTCCATCAGGGTGGTGCCCAGGGTGGTGAACAGACTGGATGCATGGCCCAGGTGCATAGTAGGCCCCTATGAATATTTGCTGGATGATTATGTCTGGAACTTGGCCCAGAGCCCAGCAAGCCAGAAATAGCTGATCGACAAATCGGAGCCACATAGGGGACATGCTCGGAGGTCGAGGTTGTATCTGGGGATCTTTGGCATCTAAATGTCTACATGGGTTTGGGGGTGGGACATTCTTTACAGATTTGACTCAAGGACTCCTCAGGGCAGACTTTCTTCCCAGCCTGCAGACAATCGGCCTCCAGAAATCATTGAGTAGTGCCTTCGACGTTGTATCAGGCCTCCTGGACATCTTGGGGCCTCCACTCACCAATGAGATCGACACTGTTAGGTGAGTGGTCCCTGATCACCAACCACCCCCAGTCCAGGCTGTCCTGGTTTGTTGGATAGTTAGAGCTCTCCCCACATTTCCTGACCTCACAGAGGCCCTTCCCTTGCAAAGAGCCTTTCCGACTCTGATGGCCTGAGATCCCCTGGGTGGGAGAAACTCCCACTGCGGGAGGCTAGGGGAGGGGCTGAAGACACAGGGATTCAGTTCCCTTGTCTGGGAAAAGGATGGCTGCTCACCAGCTGTGACAGCATCACCAATCTGCCCCTTTCTCTGAGCCTCAACATCTGCCCTGTTCAATGGGGAATAATAGCATCTACCCCCATGGGACTGTTGTGAACATTAAGTGAAATAATATGTGTCAAATGTTTGCACATCTTCCTCTCCTCAGTAAGCATCCAATCACAGGTAATAAACAACAGCAAGAATGTGATAATCCTAATACTAGATGATACTGGGCTTTAGGGTTAGATTGGCCACCAGAGTATAGAAGACCTGGGTCCCTTGTCTTCTTAAACTCAACATGTCCAAAACTCAACTGCTGACTCCCACCTTCATCCCTGCCCCAACCTGTGCCTCTCCCTGCCCAATCCATCTTACCTAACAACAACTCCATCCATCCAGTTGCTCTGGCCAAAAATCGTGATGTCCTCCCTGGCTCCTCTGTCTCCCTTGTACCTGCTTCCAGCCTGTTGCCAAATCCTCCCTGTCACTTCTGCCTTCAAATCACACCCAGGCATCTCACCACTTTTTTTTCCCACCTCTGGTGGTCTGAGCCACCATTATCTCCCCGCTTAACTTACAGCTGCAGATTCTCCTGCTTCTACCCACCAGCCCTCATCTCCTCCATTCTGTTCTGCCAGTATCCAGAAAAATCTTCCTAAGAAGCGGAGCCAACCCTGTAACTCCCTTGTCCAAACCCTCCAATGTCTTATCTTCACCCTCAGAACCAAGTTCAAAGTTCTTACCACTGGCCCTCAAGGCTCCACGCAATCTGGCCCTGGCTACCTCGCTCACCTCTTCTACTAGTCTCACCTCACTCTCTGCCTGCTAGCCACACAAAGCCCGTTGCTGTTCCTCAAACACACAAGCCACATTTCAGCCTCAGGGCTTTTGCACTTGCTCTGCCTTCTTTATTATTTCTACTATTATTATTGTTTTGAGATAGGGTCTTGCTCTGTCTCCCAGGCTGGAGTTCAGTAAGTGGTGTGACCACAGCTCACTGCAGCCTCAACCTCCTGGGCCCAAGCCACCCTCCTGCCTCAGCCTCCCAAGTAGCTGGGACCACAGACACATGTCACCATGCCCCGCTAATTTTTTGTTTGGTTGGTTGATGTTTTGTTTTCCTTTGTTTTGTTTTCGAGACAAGGTATTGCTCCGTCACCCAGGCTGGAGTGCAGTGGCACAATCATGGCTCACTGCAACCTTGACTTCTCAGACTTAATTGATCTCCTGCCTTGGCCTCTCAAAGTGCTGGGATTACAGGCATGAGCCATGCACCCAGCCTTGCTCTGTCTTAAGCCTGTCCTTTCCTTCTCTGGACTGTCTGCATGACTCATTCTCACTTCATTCGTGACTCTG